GAGAGAGAGAGAGAGAGAGAGAGAGAGAGAGAGTAGAGAGAGAGAGAGAAGAGAGGAGAGAGAGAGAGAGAGAGAGAGTAAAAAATAAGACTAGGGAGAAATGAACGGGGATGTTAAAAAGGGAGTCCCTTTCGAAGAGCAACACACATCACAAACATACGCTTTTCTAAGCCGGACGGAAAAAATCTAAATATTGCAGTCTGCACAAATAACACGCACGGCAAAATGGGAGAAGGGAAAAGTGCAAAGGAACCGAAAAAGGTATATACATAAGAGGAAGAATGAACTGAAACAGAAGTAACGAGAGGAAGGAAAGGGAGAAAGCAGGAAAGAACATAATTCGACGCGGTTGCTCCTGCAACGAACACAATTTATAGCGAAGAACGACATATCTTTGAGAAATACATCACGGCTAAAGCCGCCTACGATTTATTGCATTTCTGGGAACAAAGTATCCAAACTCGACCATCGTTCGATCTTTGCTATGTAATCTTTTCCTCTGCTAGTACTACACTCTTTCGGTATACGTGGCTATCGAAATTTGAATATTTGCTCTTACTCTGAATGTATGTACTGAATGTATGAGGGTGTGTTAGGCAGTTGCGTATGTTTGTGAGGGTATGTTTACATGTTTGTACGTGTATTTTCTGTGCGTGTGTACATGTGTGTGTTTGGTTGAAGTATGTTACAAGTAAATAGTATTTACGCTTAACGTACAAGCCTTGCGTTCATATTCGTGAGTTTGCTCGTTATCATGACTCCCTCGCCCCCGCTCTACATTTGTCTCATTCTGTATGTGTGGGTATTTTGATTGTATTGGAGGATTCTTAATATCATTAATACGTAGACCTCCTCCTCTTTCGCCCGTGTTTGCCATCCATCCGCAATGCCATATCGATTCGCCAAGGCACAAACAGCCGTAATCCAAACAAGCGCCGCGATCGATTTTCAGCCGAGCACATTCACGCCGTCAATCGCAGCATATCTTACAGGTAAAGTAATTACCACAGGAATGGCGACAGAGCAAACGTGAGGTCAAGGCGATAAACTGAAATACCGGTTCGCTGCAAAGTTCCCACATGAGCATATTTCTCCATTGTGCAATAACGCACTCCAGATTGTACAAAGTATGGAGGACGTAGAAGTAGGGAACTTTTACTCAGACCTGGAGTTGTACGTTGTGTGAAAAGTTCGGCGACGATGTTTATACTTATTGCTGTCGGGTCATTTGGGCTGCTGGTTTAGGGGTGTACTCTGAAGGGATGTGAGAGTGTAATTTCGTTTCATTAAGGCCTGGGCAATCGATAGAATGTGCCCGAGTTGGAAAGGTGAACAAAAGCTTGACACCTCAATGCTTTTTCGTTTCATCGAAATCTTGTGATAATCAACAATATTATAAGTAATCTGGCTAAAAGTTCCATTAATACAACCAAAGACGATTCCATTTCTTAATTTCTTTGATATCTGCGGCAACATCATGTATACTGGAAAATAACCCTGACCATCCTTCCATCTACCTTTTCATGCAAAATCGTCCTCGATAACCAAGAGCGCCACTCATAGTAAGCGGACACTGGCCTCATACTTCACACTTGAGCCGAATTCGTTCCAGAGACAAAACCCGTCGATGCGGAGGTTGGTCATTATTCCACCTGCGGTATGCCTTAAAGATGACATGTGTCTCGCTGGGGTCAGGTCAGGTGAACTTTACGGTGCAGACACTTCGCTTGTTTCAGAAATTACTGGTGTTTTCGCATGATGTTGAAGTAAAGTGTATTGGTGTCTACACTTCTTGGAATGGGATTGTTCGTATCGCTGAAGGGAGCTGCTTTCGAAAATGAACGAATCTTGAATTTGTTTCTGATATTCGTCTTTACTATTATTATTATTATAACAGAAGCTAAATATACCGTCCCATTACAATTTACAAAGTACATCCAGATTAGAGCAACAAGATCTTAGGAAATCGCACGTCTCGTCTTCGTACCTTTCAACCTTGATCCTTCTGTTATCTCCTAAAGCATCAGCAGGATTCGCAGATTTACAGGCACCTGATAAAGTCTTACGTAGTCTAGACCACTATAAAACAGCTTTCTATGAGATCAAATAAGACTACAGAGTGGAAAACACCTCTTCATGCGAAGGGACCGAAATGCTTACCTTCAAGCCATGAATGACGTGGTTGCAGTGGTCGTGGGGAACATTTTCGCTAATGGCCACAGTGAGCCCGTTGTAGCCGTTGTTCACGAGTCGCAAGTCGCCGGGAAAGGCCACTGCCTCTTGCACATACATCACCATCATTGTCACCAGCACCAACTTCATCCTGGAAGTCATGTTCCTCATCTTCACAGGCTGCGATGATGTCATTTTCCGATCGGGAGTTGGTGCACACACATCGAATCCTTTGCCTCTTTTACTTCGAGAGGCTTCTTCCCTTCTAAATCTAATATGTCACTGAGATATGGACACTTGCACAAGGAGAGGTGCACCGTAATGGGTCTGTTCAGTATATCACACCTTCACCATCGGCACAATAAAACACCACAGCTAGTCCAGCGCGCACACGGAGACTATGAAGAAGGGACGACTAAAGTTCGTGTATTAATGCTCCAGAAGCTGCGACGGCGAGGAAGAGGCTGTGAAGTCTCTGAGAGCGAGCGCCCAATGCGTCCTCTCACCGCGCGCTTTCAACAAGTACTGACACTGTCGGTTGGCGGC